GCTGGGGACTCCATGGTAAACAAAACAAAAAACTGCTTCATCTCTGCCCTATTAGAACTTATATTCTGGAGGATGTGATAGGCACTAATAAAATAATCATATAATTAAATCAAAAGTTCCATCCTTGGTTAGTACTAGGAAGGAGAGGAATATTATGTTGTGGGTGGCTGACAGTCTGGAGGGGAAGGGAAGAAGACACAAACACCCAGATGAAATCTGCAGTGTGGGTTGGATTATTTAGGTAAAGAGGTAGGGAGGAAGAGAATTCCAGCCAGAGGGAAGAGTATATGGGAAAGGTTTGTGGCAGGAAAGGTCAGAGCAGATTCGAGGGTGGGTTGTGGAGAGTAAGGGAGTGTGGAGAGGCCTGGAGTGCAGAGTGTAAAGGAGTGTGGCTGGCAAGGTAGGTCTGGATCATATAGGGCCTTGTAGGCTATTTTAATTTGATTGTTTGCCCTTAAATTAGTGAGAAGCCTAGACATATTATTGGCTTTTTAAAACTGGTAATGCCGTGAAACAGACAGGGCATCTTTAAATTTTTTAATGTTGAAGATTCTATAGAATGCTGAGTGTTTCCAGAAAACATGGTTATTCTCAAGGCTGTCACATGAGGCCCCTTGAGTTGTATGCCACATAGTCACACTCTACTTTGTTGTGACCAAACAGGCTTCCAAGAGTTGCGGGGATGGGGCTGCCTTGGTTAGATGTTCTCTGATCAGCAGACAGGGTTGTTTTCTCTAAATGGAGAATCAAAGGACACATTTGAAATTGAAAGTAGTGTGAAAGGAATCTAAATTGGTTAAATGTCAAATACATCCATGATTTATGTCTCCTTTACATCTCATTGCTGATAAAGCTAACACCCCTCTATTACTTGTGTGCATGTGTGTTTGTGTGCATGTGCATGCGCATACACGTGCATGTATGCATGTAGGAAAAAAATTTCAAGGCAAGGAGACTAAAGGTCTGTTGCCTTATTTCTCTGGGCACAAGGTCAGAGAAACATGTGACCTAAGAAAAATGCAAATTTCACGCCATGAACTAAGCGAACTCCTTATTAATTTTTAAAAATTATATAAGCAACTCATACTCATTGTAGAAAAAGTAGGTTTGTACACCCAAAAAGTAGAAAACTGAAAACTCCCAATTCTATTAACATTTTGGTATATATATGACCAGAGTTTTTTTCCTGTGAGTTTAACATTCCTAATATACACATATTACTCCATGAGTGACCTGTTCATTTTTAACAGAAAAACCAATTCCCATTCATTTAAGTCTGTCTCCATTGTTACCTGGCCTTCCTCCCTGGGCATCCTCTGTGTCTCCATATCCAACTCTGCCCCTATTTTCTCTTGTAAAAACACCAGTCACTGGGGTGAGGGCTTACCCCAATCCAGGAGAACTTCATTTTATAAGGATTATATCTGTAAAAACCCTCTTTATAAATAAAGTAACATTCACGGATACCTGGATCAGGAGTTGAACATACCTTTGGGGGAAGGGGACACAATTCAACTCACTACACTTGATCGTATACCTCAGTGTAAAGTGATATATTTCACTTATTACTAGCAACATATGGGAACATTAACCAAAATTGCAAAGAGTTTTGTTTTCATCAGTGATATAAGGGCTTTACCTGAAATTCTCCACCCTATATCAAAAATATTGAGGGGCGCCTTGGTGGCTTAGTCGGTGAAGCATCCGACATTGGCTCAGGTCATGATCTCGCGGTTGGTGGGTTGCAGCCTTGTGTCGGGCTTTGTGCTGACAGCTACCTCAGAGCCTGGAGCCTGCTTCAGATTCTGTGTCTCCCTCTCTCTCTGACCCTCCCCTGCTCACACTCTCTCTCTCTCTCAGAAATAAATTCTCCAAAGAGGACATCCAGATGGCCAACAGACACATGAAACGATGCTCAGCATCCCTCCTAATCAGGGAAACACAAATCAAAACCACACTGAGATACCACCTCACGCCAGTCAGAGTGGCTAAAATGAGCAAATCAGAGAACACAAGATGCTGGCGAGGATGTGGAGAAACGGGCACCCTCCTACACTGTTGGTGGGAATGTAAACTGGTACAGCCCTTCTGGAAAACAGTGTGGAGGTTCCTCAGGAAACTAACAATAGAACTCCCTTATGACCCAGCAATAGCACTGCTAGGAATTTACCCAAGAGATACAGAAATGCTGAGGCATAGGAGCACATGTACCCCAATGTTCATAGCAGCACTCTCCACAATAGCTAAAACATGGAAAGAGCCTAAGTGTCCATCAACAGATGAATGGATCAAGAAGATGTGGTTTATCTATACCATGGAATACTACATGGCAATGAGAAACAATGAAATCTGGCCATGTGTAGCAACATGGATGGACCTTGAGGGTGTTATGCTGAGCGAAATAAGTCAGGCAGAGAAGGACAAATATCATATGTTTGCACGTATAGGAGGATTAGGAGGAACTTGATGGAGGAACAAGGGGGAGAAGAAGGGCGGAAATGGTGGGGGAAAGGGAGAGAGGCAAACCATGAGAGACTCTTGAATGCTGACAAAAACTGAGGACTGATGGATGTGGGGGGGGGAGGGGGGATGGGCATGGAGGAGGGCACTTTGGGGATGAGCACTGAGTGTTATGTGGAAACTAATTTGACAATAAACTATTTGTAAAAAAAAATAAAATTAAATAAAATTAAAAAAAAAGAAAGAAATTAAAAACATTAAAAAATTTATTTAAAAAATACTGAATACTCGGAACAAAACAAAATAAATCCTTTCCCGTAGCATACTGTAAACAGACCCCAGGCCAACATCAGATAGAATCTGGAAAATGGAAAGGGCAGAGAATAGACTCATGAGTCTTAAGAATATTGCCGTCATGTATGAACTAAAGTATGAATCAATGTATTAATTTAAGGATAAAAATGCAGATAAGAATATCCTGTAGTGAATGAACTTTCATTCTTAACATTAAGAAATACCACTCTGCACATAAAAATAAAGAAAAACAGATGAGTTGCTCTACAATTTTAATAGAAGTGGGATGGAATCTATTTGAAAAATAAGGTATGAAAAGGCTCATCTTTTTAGTTGGCATGTTTTATTTATTTATTTTTTAAATGTTTTATTTATTATTTTTGAGAGAGAGAAAAAGAGACAGTGCAGGAGAGAGAGAGGGAGACACAGAAATCAAAGCAGGTTCCAGGCTCTGAGGGGTCAGCACAGAGCCTGACATGGGGCTTGAACTCACACACTGAGATCATGACCTGAGCCGAAGTCAGACGCTTAACCGACTGAACCACCCAGGCACCCCCATTTATTTTTTTGAAATTCAGTTATTTATTTGAGAAAGAAAGAGCATGCAAGGGAGGAGGGGCAGAGAGAGAGGGAGAGAGAGAGAGTCCTAAGTAGGTTCTGCACTATCAGCAGAGAGCCTAATATGGGGCTTGATCATGACCTGAGCCAGAATCAAGACTTAGATGCTTAACTAACTGAGCCACCCAGGCACCTCCTGGGTGTGATGTTGTCATATAAAGTCTGGTTTTTCTGAGACTTTGAAATTTAGTATAATTGCTAGGAACACAAATCTAAGAAATTATAGTAAGATTTATCTTAATCCATACTGAATTTACTATGTATAACGAATTTTTCTGTAGTTTTCAGACAAAATGTTTTAAGAAATTAAAAGCTTTCTGTGCTGAGGCATAGGAGCACATATACCCCAATGTTCATAGCAGGACTCTCCACAATAGCTAAAACATGGAAAGAGCCTAAGTGTCCATCAACGGACAAATGGATCAAGAAGATGTGGTTTATCTATACCATGGAATACTACATGGCAATGAGAATGAAATCTGGCCATGTGTAGCAACATGGATGGACCTTGAGGGTGTTAAACTGAGAGAAATAAGTCAGGCAGAGAAGGACAAATAACATATGTTTGCACGTATAGGAGGATTAGGAGGAACTTAACAGAGGAACAAGGGGGAGAAGAAGGGAGGAAATGGTGGGGGAAAGGGAGAGAGGCAAACCATGAGAGACTCTTGAATACTAAGAAACAAACTGAGGACTGATGGATGTGGGGGGGAGATGGGCATGGAGGAGGGCACTTCTGGGGATGAGCACTGGGTGTTATACGGAAACCAATTTGACAATAAACTATTTGTAAAAAATAAATAAATAAAAAGAAATTAAAAGCTTTCTGTACAACAACAAAGTTGTGCAGACTGAACCACATGTGCTTCCAGATTTATACTGTTTGAGATAAAGCACTGTACTGTGACAGCTGTCACCGTGAAGGGGTGTGATACAAAGGGAAGGGAGGACCTGAGCTCTTCTGGTGGGTCTCCTTAATGGCTTTGCTTTTCTAGTCTCAACCCTGTGATCTCTCCTCCCTCTTTCCTACCTGGTCTGGCCCCATGTCCACTGCAGAGGACTTCATTCTGTTGAACCATTTTTGCAAAAAAGTAAACAGGTCTTTGAACCTGGCCTCCTAATTTTGAAAAGTGCTGCTGGGGGGAAATAAGCCACACGACTGTACGGATGGGCAGCTCAACAAATTCACAGTTTCCTCTCTCATCCGGGATTTCTGGGTTGACCTGGGATGTTTCTGAATGACCCTGGCTGGGATGCTCACCCACTCTCCCCCTGCCCGTAACAGTGGAGGAATCCTTTTTCTGTAACACAGTTCCAACTGCACAGATTCACCCCAAGGTTCACAGGATCTCTTCTCTAATTCAGGTGATATTAAATAGGATGAAATGTCTTTAGAACCTCCATTCAGGGATTTTAATAATTATAAAATACCCCAGTTGGGGGAGCACTAGTAAGAATAGCGAAGGAAAATAGCTGGCAAATTCTGTCATCAATATAATACAGTAAATTGACAATTTCCTTTGATCTGCTGTCACAAACGGCATGTTAAAATGGACCTCAGTGGAAAAATATTCAAGTGCCAAGCTACAGTTTAAAAGTATCTGTTTACTCATGTTTAAAGGTGGCCTGTGCTCGCTTTGTCGGCATATACACTAAAATTGGAAAGATACAATGAAGATTAGCGTGGCCCCTGCACAAGTGTGACATGCAAATTCGTGAAGCATTCTACATTTAAAAAAAATGTTTATTTAATGAGAGAGAGCGAGCATGGGAGAGGAGTGAGAGAGAGGGAGAGGATCCCAAGCAGGCTCTGCACCATCAGCACAGACCCTGACGCGGGGCTCAAACTCACGAACCATGAGACCATGACCTGAGCTGAAATCAATAGCTGGAGGTTTAACCAGCTGAGCCACCCAGGCGCCTTGTCCACATGTTTTAACTGGAATTTAAATAAAAACTTTAAAAAACTAAAAGAAAAAATTCCAATGACATAAGAGTAAAAGCTAAACAAACAAACAAATAAATATGGCCTGTGCTTTAGACTTCTAGATTGTTTGGGGTCTTCTGTTGTCTTTGTAAACAGTGACGTGTGTGAAAGAGTAAATGTCAAGGAGCTGTTTAAACACACTGTCTGGGTTTCTTTTCCTCTCTGATGGGCAACAGAGAAAATTACTTCCTATTGCTAGCGGTTGAGATTTCGCGGTTGCCCCCCCTCCCATAAACCATTAATAATTTTTTTGTTAGATTGCATAATTTATAGTATCCGTTTTGAATGCATAATGTAATACTGTATACTGAAGGGTAGTCTTTCTTCAAATAGGTTACTGAAAATGAAATAAATACCTAGATTAAATTTCCATACTAGGGAGAGGGAAATGAAATAATTTGCTGAGTTGCAAAAATACATAATAGACATTGGGGAGATAATCTCAATTCTAAAAAATTACCTCATTGTTCTAGTCACGTCAGACAGTTTCATTCTGAAAACAATTCCTAAGAAAAATGCTGCTATAATTATTGAACAAAAATAAGTGTTTTTAAATAAAATGAGTTGAAGAATAATCTCTATCTAAATATTAATAAAATGAGGCCAAATTGGTTTATAACTTGCAGTGTAATATAAAAAAAAGTGACTGTATTTATTTTAGTGTCTGCTTTTGTGAATGAAAGGGCTGCAGAACCTTTAAAATATGATGTAAGAGCTGGAAAAATTTCGCTTATCTTTAGATTTAGCCCTAAATTTTACCATAAATAATTACTATGCGATTACTTATGTTTCTAAAAATTTGTTGCTATTTCTAGAGATTTACCTGTAGATTTTATGTGGTTGTAAGAAAGAGAATTTATATTAAAAGTTATCTGCTAAAATGACTACATATTTTTTTTCCAAATTGCTATCTGCTCCTTTCTCATGTGTATTATAAATCAATAACATTATTTAGTATTTCTTATTTTGCTATTATTATCATATTTTTCATGGATCCAAATCCCTTATTTTACTAAGTTTTGTCTTCCCAAGAAACTGTCAAACTTCAACTGTGGGACTGGTACTGGATCCCATGGGGACCCCAAATAGAAGTTTAATTTTCTCTGGGCATTGGGTACCATTTGTTGTTTATTCCTCTGAAATGGTTTTATTTTCATTACAATAATAGCATTATGCTCATCAGGACATATGTTATCTTCTTTAGTGGGACCTTACTTTTTCCCCATTAGAAAGAAAGGAAGACAGGAGGGAAAAAAGACATGGGAAGATTAATTTAAGCATAGACCATGGTAAAATTAAAGGATGGGATGTTGACTTTGATGCTTTTAATCTTTTTTAAGTTTATTTATTTATTTTGAGAGGGACAGAGAGAAAGAACACAAGCAGGGAGGGGCAGAGAGAGAAGGAGACAGAGAATCTCAAGTAGGCTCTATGCTGTCAATGCAGAGCCCGATGCAGGGCTTGATCTCACCAACTGTAAGATCATGACCTGAGCTGAAACCAAGTGTTGGATGCTTAACCAACTGAGCCACCCAGCACCCCATGACTTTGGTGCTTTTAAAATAAGCATACATCAAAATCAGTAAGGAAATCTGATTTGTAAAAGTAACAAGTTTTGATGATTATATAAAGGAACTGCTCCATAAAATTCTTTTTAGAGACACTTACAACCTTTTGAGGCTGTTTTCGATACATATATATTTCTACTTTTAAAATGTACTTTCCACACAATAAATGTTTTAATACCTCCATTTGGTTAGGAGATGCTCTTAAACGTATAGAACAATTTTGCCTAGATTGTTTATTTAATGTGACTTGTAAAAACTGTAAATCAAAAATTATTTGGTAGTTTAACATTTCGCCCTATTTTGAAGTACTAGTAAATAACACTAACATCCTCATAATAATAATTAATACCCTTTAAGACGGAACTCTAGGGAAAAAATTAAATGCTGAATTTATCTAACTTTTTTACTCTCTTCTTAAATGTCAGGTTGATTTACAAAAGCTTAGTAATTTTGCCGATGTTTGTCCACGTCTATAAATTCACTACATTTCTAAATTTAGAGATTCTTTGCCAACATGATTAAAATATTTTCTAATTTGTTCTCCTAATCTTCTTTGGGTAGTGCACAAAATAAAAAGACTACAAACTTAAGCCAGAGAAATCGTACGTAACCTTGATAAGCTTCGTAATGCTAATGTTGTTTTGATAGAGAAAACCACAAGTAATGCAAATAGCAGCTTCCACTCTCCAGTACAGGTGTGTAATAAGCGCATATAATTAAGCCAAAGATACATAATGGTTTGTTGTTGGATACGCATTTACAACAGCTGACTACGCTCTTAATGTGTGGTTCATGAGTTAGGTAATTTTCTTATGTCTCCACTCCTTGAACAGAATATTCCTCATGGACTCATATACAAAATGATTCTATGCCTTTTACACAGTAGATTCCCACTGCTGCCTGTAATTTAGCGTCTTTGCCATATCAGCATTACCTAAAGATGATTAAAAAGAGCATGTAAATTCACAAACAAGTCATTTTATTCTTCAACTTAAATAATTTAGAAATGCCCCCCAAAAGGAAAGTTATCAAAATGTAAGCCTTTCGACATGGTTTCCATCTTTAGTGAAATATATCAACCGTGCATTTAATCACTGTTATGCATAAAATATGGTTTATGGCTCTGCTCTATATATCACATAAACTTCTTTGTATATTATGAATCTGAGTCCTTTAAAGAGCATAAAGCAAACATGAAACACTAGTAAAGGTTTTTAAAAACCAGTACAGACACAGGTGACAGTGCATAAACTAACTTCTTGAGATTATTTCTAATTCCATACTTTCATCGAGTTATTTTATACTGCAAAACACACATGCACACATATTTATATAGCCTTTGGGTTTTGAGTTGGGCAAACTAAAAATAAGAATAAAAATACTATACTAATAGTATGTGAATTTCTGCATTTTAAACACTCTTCATCCTTTTTCTCCTTTCCATTATGAAACTGTAAAACGCACTGTAAAAAAAACCTTATCATACATGCACAACCAAGATGAGCCCTAGTGATTTGTACCAGAGAGGGGTCAAAAGAGTCTATCTACTAAGACTGGTAACGTGGAAAAAAATAGATAATGTAAATTTGTTTTTTATTTTTAAAAAGGTGATATCTTACACACATATTGAACTATAGTGTGTGCTAAAAATGGTCAGGATAATATCTGAGCTCAATAGCATTTTCCCATAAATTACTGTGTAGGTACCATTAATCATTGTATTCAAGGGCTATGCTTTGCCTGCTTAATTCAGCTGGTTCTGATTTGCACATCATTTCAAAGAATGCAGAAAAAACCCCCAGAAAAGTTCTACTTTCTGCATTAGCTATACAGCTCATCCCCTGCTAGCTATATCCCAGAACAGAAGTAAACGATCAGCCTGATTCCTTTGTTTACTTATTTTCCCTCCACTTTTGGGTGACTTTTAAAGCCTTGTTTGCAATTAATTTTTGGTAAAAACTTTAACTGAGTCTTTAGCATGAACTTTAAGGAATGGAATTTTAGTCCCAACATAGAGTTATTCCTGCTGCTGTTGTTATTATGGTTCCTCATGAAACAAACTAGTCATTTCCCCCTCTTCTTGAGTATGTGTGATTGTATGTGTAACTGTGTCATAAATGTGTGTGTGTGTGTGTTTGTGTGTGTGTGTGTGTGTGTGTGTGTGTGTGTGTTTGAAGGGGGTAGTATGTCCTCAGCCTATATATTTGGTTAATATAAAAGGCATGGGTGTTAAGTTTCTTTTTTCAAAAATGGAAATTGAGAAAAGAGAACTCCCTTTTCCATCACCACATAAAACTCACCTGTTTCTAAGCTCCCACCCTTGCCCCCCACCTTTCCCACCCCCCACTGCCTTTGAAGACCATCAAGCTCAGATGGGTTCTGGTTCTCCTTTTCCCCATTCTCTCAGAGGCTGGTGACCAGTTACTGGTCAGAGTCTCATTCTCTCTCTCCCCCAAAACTGCATTTTTAATCTCTCTTACTAAAGGACTCTTTCTATCAGCACTGGAGCATATTTTCTCTACATCTTCACTGTCAGTAACTTAACAGCTAACTCTGATCTACTTTCCACCCCTACCTTCTACCAACTGCTCTTATAAATGGCTTCCTCATTCTACCAAGTCTACTTTGGGTGCAATTTTCTTCATTAATGTGGAAAATTCCAAGAATGACTGAGTAAGGGATCTGATGCTGGAATATTTAAACTCCTGACTTTATTTTGTATAACCTAGGCAAAGAAATGACCTCTGACAGAGAAAGACAAATACCATGATTTCACTCATATGTGGACTTTAAGAAACAAAGCAAATGAGCAAAGACAGGGAGGGAAAGAGAGACCGACAAATCAAGAAACAGACTCTTAACTACAGAAAACAAACTGATGGTTACCAGAGGGGAGGTGTGCGGGAGGGAGGGGGGGGTTGTATGGAAGTGTTGAATCACTATTTTGTACACCTGAAACTAATTCCATTGTATGAAAATTAACTGGAATTTAAATAAAAACTTATGAAAGGAAATGAGCACTGAAAGTTAGGGTGATGTATGTTAAATGCTGCCAAGCAACAAGGAGTTCATAGACACAAAGTTTTGTCCTTGACAGAGACCTGTTCATTTTGTAATTCTGGAAGGAGTGGGAGCTTTCTGAAAGTTTCTAACAGATGCCAAGAATGTAAATTTCATTTC